TTTACTTGTATTAACTCTTCTAGTTGCATTGATATTTTACCAGAATGGGAATTTATTAAAATTAGCAACAACCCAGAGAGTAATATTTTTCAATACCTAGCATAACCGGAATATAAAATTAAGCAAATGAAAGAAGAAAAAGAGTGTCTAAATATCATCTTAATAATGAACTGATAATTAATAATAATTTTACTCATCAACAGATATTGATCAAGTATCTATATTTTTGGCACTTCTGCAAGTTCTAAATACAAATGTTAACTCATCGAATTCTCACAAAAACAACATGAAGTAGGTATTATTATAATATAAACTCTGTCTTACAAATGAGGAAACTCAGGCACAGAAAGGTTAAGAAACTTGCCCAAGATCACACAGCCACCAAATGGCAGTCAAAACTCAGGCCAAGGCAGCCTACTCCAGCATCTGCATTTTGACCCACCAGGCTACACTACCTCATAGCCCCTAAAACATCCTGTACCAAGTTGATAATACTTAAGAAATCAATAAAACAATAAAAATCATTAACTTTTGTGACCAAAGTGGCCCCCTCTCCCCTCTGGTTAATTAGCCATTTAGTTTTCTGGCCTACGATGATTAAGGGCCAAAAGGAAGGCAGAGCCAACCTGCTCTGGTTGGCTTTTGTTCTATTGACATTTATTGAGTGCCCTTGATGTGACTAGCACTGTGGTAGACACCCAGGATAGACAGATAAGACACAGGCTGGTAAACCAATGATTGCCCCTGTGAAAGTCTGTAGGAGGTGCAGCATGAGTCCAGGGGAAGACAGGGGACTTTGTTGATCCTTAAGCTGAAACTCAAAGGAGGAGTCAATTTGCTAAGTGAATGAGCAAAGGAAGGCAGGACTTAACTGCCCTGCAAACCTTTTGTCCTCCAGACCTGAGGTGGGGTAGATTCATTGCCCTCTGTTGACAAAATGGTTTTCAGTCACCTGGAACAAAAGATCACCTCCAGCTCCCTATCTCTGCTAGAGCAAATATTGAGAAATGTCAGGCTCAAATATTTCAGTATTGCACCTTATTGCATATGCCACAGAACAGATCTATTCTCCCGTTCCTGCCCCCCAAAATAAGAATCAGGGGGCCATGTCAGAGCTAAATCCTGGTAAATGAGAGTGAGGAATAACTAAGGGTCGCCCAGGGATACAGAGAGTGAGGGAAAACTAAAAAAGAATGGCTGGAGAGTGATCCTGCAAATTTTCCTGTACCCAAAGGCACAGGGCATGTGGAAATGGTGACGGAACATTGCCTGATGTCAGACCAATAATCAGTAACTACAAGGCATGTGAACGCCAGCCCCTCTTTTCTTTTAAAAAATAATTAAATAATAGTTATAAGTATACACACATGTACTTATATCAGTGTTTTCTCAAGAGATTTAACATATGATCAATCTATCAGAGTGGCCAATAAATTTGCTTACAAAAGTTACTGATTTTTATGGCTCTATTCACTTTTCAACTGCCATGTCAGTAAGCCCTAACATGAAAAGAATGAACTGTCATGCTTATGTGTCTTGTAAATATTTGATCAATGTGTTCCTGGCTTGTGCATTTGCCAAAGTATGGATTATAGGAAGTGTATATATCTCTGTTTCTCTTCATGTTTGTGCATTTCTGAGGGCATGGGCCATATTTGTTTAACTTATTTACACAGTGTTGGTTCCACACACAAGGGCATACATAAACAATCCAAGATAATCAAGAGGTGGATATTTATTTCCAAGAGGGGCTTAAAATATGGGCACATTCACACATCTCAATTTTTTTAAAACTCACAAAACAAATATGATTTACAAGTGCCAAATAAATCAGACCAAAATATACATCCAAATAACAATTTGGGCAAGTTCATATATTTTTACTTTTTAGCATTGAGTGACAATTCTCAACTGGGCTTGATGTAGGCAGAGTCGGAAGAAAATTCCAGCACAGAACAGAGCTGCTGTTCCAGTTGCCGTTCTCCACGCATCGTCAAGTCATATCTATCGTGATTTTTCCCTCTCTTTAAAGTAAAATGGTTTTGTTTGGTTTTGTTTTTGCATGCCTGTGCTTTCCCTCCTGTGCAAAATATGGGAGGGATCAGATGTACAGTGACACATGAAAAAATAAAATGATAGCTAACACTTACATAGAACTTATTATATGTCAGTCCCAATTCTAGGTGTTTTACATATATTAACTCATTTAATTCTTACAACTACCCTATAAGGTCAGTTTTATTATACTCATTTTCAATGGAGGTAAACTTTTCATTTTGTTGAAGGAAACCTAAGTCCAGAAGGATTAAATATCTTGCTCAAATTCACAAATCTATCAGGCAGTGGATCTGGGATTCAAATCCAGATGGTAGCCTGGCTCCCAAGTCTACATTAACCACTAATACAGGACCAGAAAGAACCCCCTCAAGAATTTGCCAGTCACCTTTGTCTTTTTTTTTTTTTTTAAAGATTTTTATTGGGAACTTGGGGGATGGGAACAGCGCGGGGGATTTGGGGGAAGGGGAACAGACAAGTTGCTGTCCTTTTTGTTCTTCAGTCTAGTTGTGGAGGATGTTGCTTCACCGGCCCAAGTTGGCACCATCATTGCGCTCTTCCCAGGTGAGGCAGATCAGTCGCTGGCTTCTGGACGGCCGCTCACTGTGGCTGTTGGCCGCTCACTGTGGCTGTTGGCCGCTCACGCTGGCTGCTGGCTACACACAGTAGCCCATGGCAACCCACTGCAGCAGGGGCTGCAACCTACGCCATGCCGGCAACTCAAGGCAGCCCAGTTCCAGGTTGAGCTGTTGTTCAGCATCTTAGCTGTAGAGGGCAGTGTCACTGGCCCTCATATATGGGATCCGAACCGGGGCCCTCTGGCGTCCCAAGCTAGCTCTTAACCACTGTGCCACTCGTCCGGCCCCACCTTTGTCTTTATCATGAGTGATGTTGACCTGGGCACGTAGTCAGTGGTACAGTAACTCTTAAATTTCTTAAAAGCCTCAGCAAAACCACAGACTGAAAAAGAAGACAAGCAATGAAAATTCCAAAGTATTTAAAACTTACTTAAAGTTATTGGATGTGTTGGCGTATATGTGATGCGCATTTTGGTAGCATGGTAGGTAAGAATGGAAGCTCCTGAAAGCTTGGGGACCTCTGATGATACTCAAGCTATTTTCTTTAGCTTGAATTTATCCATTTACCTCCTGAAGGACATCTTGGTTGCTTCCAAGGTTTTGGCAATTAGGAGTAAACATCCATGTACAAATTTTGGTGTGGACATAAGTTTTCAACTCCTTTGGGTAAATACCACAAAGCGCTATTGCTGGATCATATAGTAAGAGTATGTTCAGTTCTGTAAGAAACTGCCCAACTGTCTTCCAAAGTCATTATACCACTTTGCCTTCCCACCAGCAATGAATGAGATTGCTGTTGCTCCACATCCCCGTCAGCATTTGGTATTGCCAGTGTTCTGGATTTTGGCCATTCCAGTAGGTAGTGGTATCTCCTTGTTGTTTTAATTTGGATTTCCCTGATGACATATGATATGAAGCATCTTTTCATGTGCTTATTTGCCACCTGTATATGTTCCTTGGTGAGGTATCTGTGAAGGTCTTTGGCCTATTTTTTAATTGAGTTATTTTTTTATTGTTGAGTTTTGCATGTTCTTTGTATGTTTTTGGATCACATTCCTTTATCACATGTGTTTTTTTGCAAATATTTCCTCCCAGTCTATAGCTTATCTTCTCATGCTCTTGATAGTCTTTCACAGAGCAGAAGTTTTGGCTGGTTGTGCCTTTCAAGGAATTGGTTTGTTTCACCTAGGTTATCACATTTGTGGGCATAGAGTTATTCATAGTATTACTTTTTATCCTTTTAAAGTCCATGGAATTTGGAGTGATACCCCTTTTTAATTTCTGATATTAGTAATATGTGTCCTCTCTCTTTTTTACTTAGTTAGCCTGGCTACAGTTAGACCAATTTGACTTATCTTTTCCAAGAACCAGCTTTAAGTTTTGTTGATTTTTCCTATTGATCTCCTGTTTTAGATTTCATTAATTTCTGCTCTAATTTTTATTTCTTTTCTTCTACTTACTTTTGATTGAATTTGCTCTTCTTTTTCTAGTTTCCTAAGGTGGAAGGTTAGTTGATTTAGATCTTCCTTCTTTTCTAATACATGCATTTATGGCTATAAATTTCTCTAAGCATTGCTGTCACTGCATCCACATATTTTGATAAGTTGTGTTCTTATTTTAATTTAGTTCAAAATATTTCTTAATTTTTCTTGAGATTTCTTTCTAACTCATGTGTTATTTATAAGTGTTTTGTTTCATTTCTAAGTATTTTCAGATTTTCCAGCTATGTTCGTGGTATTAATATATCAGGTTTAATTCCACTGTCATCTGAGAACAGACACTGTGTGGTTTTTATTCTTTTAAATTTGTTAAGGTGTATTTTATGGCCCCACATGTGGTGTACCTTGGTGAAAGTTCCATGTGAGCTTGAGTGGAGTATGCACTCTGTTGTTGGATAAAGTAGTTCATAAATGCTCATTATATTCCTAATCTTTTTCTTTGTACATAAGCATAAATACAATCACTGTGTGTGATATAATTTGTGTAAGGTTCCCCTGAATATACAGATATCATATGCATAGATATAATCTGATGGTATGCTCTATTTACCAAGTTTTTTAATCACACATTTTCATATTTTACCTTAACCTGCATATTCATGGATATTCATGGCTTTAATAATCCACAACACTGACATATGATTGGAAAACTTTAGCTCTACCTGAGTATTACCATCTTTCACAATGAGGAAGGAGGACGCCAGAATGACCATAGAGACTCCAAACACTAAGGAGATCATTAATTTCCCAAGATTCTGTGACTTTTTAAGGTCATACAAAGGGGAGTGTGCTAGTTTCCTAGGGCTATAATACAAAGTGCTAAATACTGGGTGGTTTAAACAATAGAAATTTATTGTCTTACAGTTCTGGAGGCTAGAAGTTCGAGATCAAGGTGTCCACAGGGTTGGTTCCTTCCGGAGGCTGTGAGGGATAATCTGTTTCATGCCTCTCTCCCAGCTTCTGGTGGGTGGCTGGCAACTTTTGGTATTCCTTGGCTTGTAGAAGCATCATCTTGATCTCCATCTTCATCTCCATATGCCGCTCTCCCTGTGTGCGTGACATTATCCACATTTCCCCTTTTAATAAAGACACAAGTCATACTGGATTAGAGACCCACTCTACTTCAGTAACTTAACTAATTATATGTGCAATGACCCTATTTCCAAGTAAAGTCACATTTTGTGGTACTGGGGGTTAGGACTTCAACATCGGAACTTTGACAGGACATAATTCAACCCCTAACAAGAAGCCAACAACAGTGTTGGTACGACAATGTAAAAAGATATAAAAGGATTTAGGTTAGTCTGTCAACAATGTGTTCCTGACCTTGAGCAAAGCGGGCCTGTTTCTTCATCTGTAAAATAAGGCGTTCCTGCAGGTATCAAAGTTTCCCTTGTTATTCTCAAAATAGCACTGCGATGAGAACATTGAAAACAAATTTTTAAGTTAGATTTTGCATTTTAAACAAACCTTCAACTCAAGAGAGAGACCTTTTGAGAGGACTGTAGTATGGTGGGGCCCAGCACAGAAGGGGCAGGGTCCCTGGAACTGGTTTGCTAGCAGGGTTGTCCTTAGTGTCACAGGACCATTGCCTTCGGGCTGTGATCATCCCCAACCTTTATGGGATCACAATACCCAACACGTTATGTTATGATTGTTATTTGATTTTGAGACACTACCCATTACCCTCCACCTCCCTGCAGTTTCCCTCTCCCCCAGCCCCAGCCCAGAGAAACTGCCAAACATAGACCTTATTTTCAAAAGTGAATTAGGTCTTGCAAATTTCATCATACCCTAAGATAATCCTATCCCCTCTGTCAGGATTGTAAACAAAAGAAGATGGCCACTGGGCACAGGAATGGCAGAGGACAGAATACTTGGGACCACCCAAAGGGCCACTTTTAGGAAATCATAAATTATTTTTTTGGGGCTGGCCAAGTGGCGTGTTGGTTAAGAGCTGGATTGGGACGCCAGAGGGCCCCGGTTTGGATTCCACATATGAGGGCTGGTGATGCTGCCCTTTACAGCTAAGATGCTGAACAACAGCTCAACCTGGAGCTGGGCTGCTGTGAGTTGCCGGCAACGGCGTGGGCTGCAGCCCCTGCTGCAGTGGGCTGCCATAAGCTACCGTGAGTGGCCAGCAGCCACTGTGAGTGGCCAGCAGCCACCGTGAGCAGCCGTCCAGAAGCCAGCGACTGATCTGCCTCGCCCGGGAAGAGCCCAATGATGGTGCCAACTTGGGCCAGTGAAGCAACGTCCTCCACAACTAGACTGAAGAACAAAACGACAGCAACTTGTCTGTTCCCCTTCCCCCAACTCC